AGGTGCTAGCTGTTAGCTCAAGTCTTGGGCTTTAATTGCCGTCACTGGGAACTGCTTTTTAACATGATAAAAGAAAAGGCAAAGCTTTCCCCCCAGTCTGTTGAGCTGTATGCGAGAGCGGATTGAATTGGTGTCGGGTGGATGTCTCATGCGTTTACTTTGTGACTCACTGGTCCCGCAGGTGGTGGATGAGCTGGATGAGAAGATGGTAGAAGGCGGGGTGATCGTGGACTACCACGGCTGCGACCTGTTCCCTGAACGCTGGTTTCACATCGTCTTCGTCCTCCGCACGGACAACACCCAGCTGTACACGCGGCTGGAGAACCGGTAACTCCCACTGCACGCATGAGCCTCAATGAATGAATGAATGAGCGTGGACCACCGGACTAGTGGCGGCACGGTTTCAGGTTATTGGCTTGCATCTTGTGAACAATTAAAACACTTTTGCAAACCTCCACGAGCGCAATAATCTGTTTCACAATCAGGGAAGTTTTATCGAGTTTTGCTGTTTCTGTTCAGGTTTTCTAGCAATATTTCAATACGACTGAAGGAACCTTGACTGCTTGATAATTCCTGCCTAGCCCACCACACGATAGTCTGACGTGTCCTCTTGTGTGAACCACCAGGGGCTACACGGGGAAGAAGCTGCAGGACAACGTGCAGTGCGAGATCTTCCAGACCATCTTCGAGGAGGCCATGGAGGCCTACAGCGAGGAGATCGTCCACCAGCTGCCCAGCGACACTCCCGAGGACCTGGAGCGCAACCTGGAGCAGCTGGTCCAGTGGACCGAGCAGTGGATGAAGGACAACAACTAGAAGACGGCTGGGTTCCACTGGCGGGACTGTCAACCAATATTATTTGGACAATTTAATTGTTATTTTCCAATCTGCATATATTTTCATAGTGGTGGTGATGTGATGGCTTTCTTCAGTGGCCTCTGGTTCTGCAGGGAGTGCTGCTGGGTCACCGCTCTCTCAAACGGTCCATAGAATCCACTAACGAGCACTTTCTGACAACCCGTTGTCTGATTAGCCATTGCATGATTTTGAACCATTGCAAACTAGTGTCGAGTCAAAGCTCTCATGTAGTGCTGCATTCATGTCATCTTTTATAAATAAATGACCACTGGGAAACACTACTGTCGTCATGTCCTCGTGATAACTACACAGCAGGCAGGGTTCGGTACGATGCATTAACAATGCTGGTATGTTTTATTTTAATGTTAGACCGTATAGGAGAAGTGGACGTCATCGGGATGTCCCCCATTGGTTTTTGGACTGCCGTTATGAAGCCTTGAATCTGGCAATTTCGTCGGCGCCATCTTGACTTCTTGCAAGCGGTAAACAGAATTTACCACATTAGTAATGCGGGGGAGTGAGAGAGGCCGTGTATGGCTCTGGTAGCAGCAGCGACCTGTCGCTCACAAGGTAGCATCCCCTGCCTTACGGTCTGTTTGACTCTAAATGGACCATAATGTACTAGATGAACATCGACTGTGAAAAGTTCTTTCAGCAGAGATGTAATATGATTACTATGTTTTCATTAGTGTACAATCACTGATGCTAAGGTTTTTTTTTTTTTTTTTTGTTTATTAGAAAGAGCCCTTCATGCCTACATGGGGAGCCGGTCCTCTCCGTGCAGTCAGTCTGCCATGTTGCACTGACGTCTTTCTACAATAGCCCAGAAAGGACGAACCAAACAGTGACTCGGCGGCTAACGTTAGCGCAGTCTTAGAAACGGGAGGACTGAGTGGAGGTGTATTTAGTTAGTTTGCAATCTGCAACCTAACCGCTAAATGTCACCAATTCCAACACACTGTCCCTTTAAATTACGTTACGAGCTAGGAAGTTCTTAGCACTTGATTAAAAACAAACGTGTGATATTACATAATACATTTCCGGTGAGACCTCAGCTGTCCGTACTGTGACCCAGTATCATACGATACACTATGTGCTATTTACAAATCTTTCTGTAGCGGGTACACAGGAAGTGTAGGTGACTTTACTGACAACACTAACAGGAAGTGATGCAATACATGTGCCAACAGACAAAGTGTGACTCTGGAATGCCACTGCCGATTGCATTTAGCAACTTGTTTTATTTTCTTGGGTTTGTCATTGAGCTGTTTCACCAGCATTTGCAATTGTTTTATTTAGTCCAACTTTTTAATACTTCAAACCTGCTTCAAACACTGTGTAGAATGTATTGGGGACACAGTTTTTAGTCTATTTGATTGTCAAAGCACTGAATCTGCTGATTGGCAGATCTCTTCTCATAGTTCACTAAAAGATGAAGCTGATAAATGGCCTTTAATCTATCATGGCAAGTTCATGGTATTTCCACTATTTTCCTGTATAGTAAGACTATTTTTCACCTACTGGACAAGTCAGACAACCGTCCCAGTTAAGGTTGATCAGCATAAACTGAAATAATGAGCAGATTTCAATGGGCTTGTGTTAGTTACCTAGCTGTGTTATACAGAGACTGTCTCAAAATGAT